TGGTGCGGTTTTGATAGCCAAGGCACTATATCAGCTGGCTCTTCCTGAGATGCGGGAGTTGTCTACGCAGTTTGCATGAGCTGCTAGACAAGGGTTTTATCGGGCCAAGCAGTTCACCATGGGGAGCCCTGATCTTGTTTGTGAAAAAGAAGGACGGGTCACATCGCATGTGTATAGACTACCGGGAGTTGAACGCAGTAATGGTGAAGAACCGTTACCCACTTTCAAGGATAGATGATTTGTTTGATCAGCTTCAGGGAGCATCTTGGTTCTCCAAGATCGATCTACGGTCAGGGTATCACTAGATTCAAGTCAGGGATGATGATGTGCAGAAGATAGCTTTTAGGACTTGCTATGGTCACTATGAGTTTGTGGTAATGCCGTTTGGGCTCACCAATGCTCCATCCACGTTCATGGACCTCATGAACCGCGTGTGCAAACCGATGCTAGATTGGTCTGTAATATTATTCATCAATGATATCTTGGTTTACTCCAAGACTTAGGAGCAACATAAGGAGCACCTGAGGGAGGTGCTGGAGACACTGAGGAGGGAGAAACTTTTCGCAAAGTTCTCCAAGTGTGAGTTCTAGTTACGCGAGGTGTAGTTACTTAGGCATCTCGTCAACCAGAAGGGTATTCTGGTCAATCCGGCCAAGATAGAGGTCGTGATGCAGTGGGATATTCCGAGGTCTCCAACTGAGATTCGAAGTTTCTGGGTCTAGCAGGTTACTGTCAGAGATTTATTCAGGACTTCTCCAATACTATAGTTCCTTTGACCCGACTGACCCAGAATTCGGTGGTTTTCTGCTAGAGGCCTAAGTAGTAGGCAGCCTTTGCGACTCTGAGACAGCGGTTGTGCAAGACACCAGTTTTGACTCTGCCTAAGGGAGTAGATGACTTCGTGGTGTACATTGACGCGTCGAGTATGGGCATGGGTGCATTTCTGATGCAGAAGGGTCATGTGATAGCCTACGCGTCGAGGTAGTTGAAGCCTCACGAGGCTAACTATCTTATGCATGATTTAGAATTGGGGGCGGTAGTGTTTTCCCTCAAGATTTGGTAGCATTACCTCTATGGGGTCTATTGTACCATTTACACGGACCACAAGAGTTTGAGGTACCTCATAGATCAGCCAAATATGAACATGAGGTAGCGTCGGTGGTTAGATGTGGTAAAGGACTATGATTGTGAGATCCTTTACCACCCGGGTAAGGCCAACGTAGTGGCCGAGGCCCTGAGCCGCAAGGCGGTAGCGGTCCCGATCCGAGATATATGTTTGAGGATGACAGTGATTACTCCATTGCTGGAGCAGATCCGTGAGGTGCAAGTCGAGGGCACGGAGAAGGAGTGCCGAAAATGTGAACGGATTATAGGCTAGGTGGCCTCCTTTGATTATGACAACCGTGGGTTGTTGACTCTGCATGGGAGAGTCTGGGTACCGTACTGGGGCGAAGTATGGCAATTACTAATGGACAATGCCTACAAGTCCAGGTTCTCTATCCATCCCGGGGCGACGAAGATGTACTGAGATCTTCGACTCGATTATTGGTGGCCCTACATGAAGCAGGATGTAGCCTCATATGTAGAGAGATGCCTGACCTGCAGGAAAGTCAAGGCAGAGCACCAACGGCCCCACATAAAGATGTAGTCGTTAGATATACCCATGTGGAAATGGGAGGATATTACTATGGATTTTATCACTAAGCTTCCCAGGAGCGCACATGGGGTTGATGTGATTTGGTTCATCGTGGATCGGTTGACCAAGAGCGCCCACTTCATACCGATCCAGGAGAGCATCTCGGCCGAGAAGTTGGACGAGATTTACGTGCGAAAGGTAGTAGCACGACATGGAGTGCTTCTCTCAGTGGTGTCAGACCGAGATGTCCGTTTTACTTCCAGATTTTGGAAGCGGTTTCACGATAAGATGGGTACTCGTCTCCATTTTATCACCGCTTTCCACCCCAGATGGATGGGCGGAGCGAGAGGACGATTCAGACTCTCGAGGACATGCTTTAAGCATACGTTTTGGATTTCGGTGGCAATTGGGATACGTATCTTTCGTTGGCGGAATTTTTGTATAATAGCAGTTACAACGCTAGTATAGACCGACCTCCCTTCGAGATGCTCTATAGGAGGAAGTGTAGGACCCCAATTTATTGGGGTGAGTTCGGTCATAGGGTCATAAGGAGTACGGAGGTAGTAATTAAGACCATAGAGCGGATCCAACAAGTTCGGAGCAGGCTTCAGACTGCTCAGAGTCGGCAGAAGAGCTATGCCAACAAGCGACGTTCAGACTGTCTCAACGAGTATGTGAAGGGACTCGACGAGTTGACTCAGTCAACCATGAGTTTAAGCATTATAGGGACTCGTCGAGTTGGGAGATAACTCGACGAGTTGGGTTGACTGGGATTTGACCTTGAATTTGACTTTGACTGGGACGTTAACTTTGACCAGGGGTAAAATGGTCATCTTACCCTAAGGAGGATTATCAGATTTTGATTTAGTGTTATTATGGTGTTGATAGTCGGAGAGTCGCCGAAGCAGCAGACAGGGATTCCTCACTCGAGTTTTCAGCAGTTAGTCTTGTGAGGTGAGTTTCCTTCAATAGGAACAGGTCTAAGGCGCCAAGCTGGCCCGTAGCATGATATGTTTGTAGTTGAGTGTCGGAGAGACCTGCATCTCATAGTAGCCGAGTATGGGTGGGGCTCGTATCTCATAGCTGAGTTTGATTATGGGTATATGTTTGATTGTTAGATTTAGTTATACTTGTTGTCTTTGTGATACTTATATGTTCGTTTAGTACCTGAGTGTGGGTGGGGCACGTATCTTATAGCAGCTGAGTATGGGCGGGGCTTGTATCTCATAGCAGTTGAGTGTGGGCGCGGCCCGTATCTCATAGTAGCCGAGTGTGGGCGGGGCCCATATCTTGAAGTAGCTGAGTGTGGCGGGGCCCGTATCTCACAGTCAGCGGAGTGTGGGCGGGGCCCATATCTCCCAGTTAGCGGAATGTGGGAGGGGCCCGTATCTCCATGAGTGTGGGCGTATCTCTTAGTTGCATATTATATGTGTATGGTATGTGGTAATTTGGGGAGACTCACTAAGCTTTGTGCTTACGGTTTTCTGTTTTGGTTTTAGGTACTTCCACTAGCAAAGGGAAGGGCTCGGAATGATCACATGGCACCCACCAAAGTTTCAACCTGATATTGTTTTAGACTCTGATATTTTCTCATATGATTTCGACACAGTATTTGACATGATGTTTTGAGATACATGGTTTTGATTTTCGTTATGATGATGGATTATTTATGGTTTTTATTATGGTTTTAAAAACGAAATTTCTGGGTTGTATTTTTGCGATGTTTCACCTTTGCCAACACGGAGTCACTGGTATGACAGTTAAGGAGCAGAACTGCGCCTTGGCCTCTTCTCCTAGAGATAACACCCCGACAAACGTAGAACCAATCAGAGAGTTCCACTTGTCCATCTAACGACAAGTATGATGATCATAATATCAAATATTCCCCTCTAGCTAATGAGGGGACGAGGCAAAAAGACGTGACAGGAGATCCTTTAATACGGATCCACCACGTTGCACCTAACGGGGGAATGCTCAACAGAATTAGTTATGAGGCACACGCCTCACAACCAGGTATAAACTGTATAATACTTAAGTCTTAATACATTCATAGAATCATGTTCAAACTAAAACATTAATACAAACACCAAATGACAAACGTGTTGCACAGGTCAAATGGTCAATGACATCATATCCTGGTGTATAAACTGTATAATACTTAAGTCTTAATATATTTAAAAATATATATAATTTTTTAATTAAAATTCTAAACGGGTTGGCGGGTCAACCCGTATATTTTTTTAGAAACTCATATATGGCATGTTTAATAAACGGGTTGACGGGCTGAAAAACTCAACCCAAACTCATTTATTTTGTGCCCTGTCGCAGGTCGTGTCGAGAATTAGCAGACCTATAATTTAGAGTTTGTAGATGATACATCATTTTCTTGTTTTTAGTGTTATATTCAATGAGTTATAATCCTTCAAAGATGAGATATCAAAGCTGAAATATTTTAGTTTTTCAACAAGAAATTTAAACTTTGTATTCTGTGAAATTCTTTAAACAAGCATATCTCATTCGATTTAAGACGGATTGGCATGCGGTTCTTTCCAACGTGTAATTTAGATTTTGTATATGATTTTAGATTATAATTATATTGTTTTCGTGTTATATTAAATGATTTATAATCCTTCAAAGCTGAAATATTTCAAGCTTTCAGTAAGAAAATTAAACTTTTGTATTATTTAAAATTATTTAAACAAGCAAATCTCATTTGTTTTAAGTCGGAGTGATATGCGATTTTTTCCAACGTGTAATTTAGAGTTTGTAGATGATTTTAGACTATAATTTTGTTGTTTTTGGTGTTATATTGAATAAATTACAATCCTTCAAAGATAAAATATCAAATGTGGAATACTTTCGCTTTTCAACAAGAAATTTAAACTTTTTTATCCTATGAAATTTTTTAAACAAGCATATCTCATTCGCTTTAAGTCGAATTGGCATGCGGTTTTTTGTAACATATAATTTAGAATTTGTAGATGATTTTCGACTATAAATTTGTTGTTTTTGGTGTTATATTCAATGGGTTACAATATTTCAAACAAATGGTATAAAGTTAAACAATCAAAGTTTGATTTGTCCAAAAGGCGCAAGAAAATATATTCATTTTTACGAGTTGTACCGTATCAAACTAAAAAAAAGTATTCATTTTAACGAATTGTAATGCATCAAACCCAATAACATATTCATTTTAACGAATTGTATCAAATCCAAAAACGTGTTTTAACAAGTTATATAGTATGCATGTAAAGTTGTATAAGTCCAAACGGGTATAAGAACTGGAAAATCCATACCTGGATCTGGACCTATAAATCTCATCTGATCCAGTCCACAATTCACAATATTCTCTAAAACCGATCCGATCCAAAATACTCACCCGTACATACAACTTTTAAAAGCCATGAAAAAAGTGTCATCAATTTTTAAATAATTGGACTTAAACCTTAGATAAACCAATTGGACTACAACTATGATTTCAAAATGTTAAATTTGCTTGGTTCACGTTTATTGGAAGGATGGTCCGGCCTTTTAAAGGAAATTCTTTGTCCAAAAGTAAAAAAGAAAAAACAAAGGTCTCATGGAATTCAAAACTCGTAAAGCATCCAATATTGACGATTGTACGTCATATCAGATTTAAGTTGACCTTCTCAAAGCAGCTTTAATTCTCTCTCACTATCAAAATCATGTCTGAGCCATGGATACTCTCTGCAAAGTTACTGTTTGGGATCATTTTAATGCATACATGTCTCAACGGCGTTAACTCCATACCAGTCGCCGATGAGGTAGTGAAATTACCAGGCCAACCGCCGGTGACATTCAAGCAATTTGCAGGCTACATCTCCCTCGATGAAGCAAAACCGAGATCTTTGTTTTACTACTTTGTTGAAGCTGAATCCAACTCATCTTCCAAACCGCTTGTGCTTTGGTTAAATGGAGGTAATTCTCGCTATATTTCTTCACTCCATACCTTATGCACAACGATAACGCGTGAAGCTTTTCGTTTCAATTTTTGCAGGACCTGGTTGTTCGTCTGTTGGAGAAGGGGCTTTTGTCGAGCATGGTCCTTTTAAACCAAGTGGTAGTGTTTTGGTTAAAAACGAGTATAGCTGGAATAAAGGTATACAGAATCTGCATTTAAGTTGAGAGAATTCTGCAATAACTGTGTATTCAATGTTGAGAGTATTAATTGCAGCATTAAATGAAGTTATAGATTTGCCCTACAACATTGATTGATACTCATGATGATTCGTATATCATAATGAATCTCTCATGATCGATTACCAATGGCCTGCAACAACTACGCTTTCCATGTATTTGAATTATTACTATCAATTTGTATCAAATTGGGCAAATTATGTCATGAATGGCTGAGGATGGATCAATTAACAAATTTTCTGTGTTTTATAAACGTCCATGGATATCTTAGATGAAAGCTTTTATTAATTATACATATTTTGAGAAAATAATTTTGGGAATTAATTCCTTGTTGTTTTTGACAGAGGCAAATATGTTGTACTTGGAATCACCAGCAGGAGTGGGATTCTCTTATTCTGTTGATAAGTCCTTCTATTTATCAGTGAATGACGTCATTACAGGTTCTTAATTTACTTCTTTTCAAAGAGTGTACACATATGATTCTATATTACTGTATGTATGACTATGAACAAACTGTTTCTAATGCTTATTTCATCATTTCAGCTCGCGACAATCTCAATTTTCTAGAGAAATGGTTTGAAAACTTTCCAGAGTACAAGAATAGAGACTTTTACATCACAGGCGAAAGTTATGCAGGTAAAAATATATGTAAGAACTTTAAAAAGCTTTTCAAATCAGAATAACTGTCTTAACTCTTAAGTCTTAACACTCATTGTCTAATGTCTACTACAGGACACTATGTTCCTCAACTTGCAAATCTCATACTTAAGTCGAAAGCCAAGATCAATCTCAAGGGAATCGCAGTGAGTAAAATAAATCCAAGGGTAAAATAGTCATTTAGTCTTGTTCAGACCGTTAACAAGCTTATCATTTGTTGTGTAGATCGGTAACCCACTATTGGAATTTAATACGGATTTTAATTCAAGAGGGGAGTATCTCTGGTCTCATGGTTTAATATCAGATGCTACATATGACTTATTCAATAAAGTTTGCAACTTCTCAACCATAAGAAGACAAGCCCAATACAAGTCTATGACCCCAAAATGCTCTCAAGTCTCGAATCAAGCTTCAAGAGAAATCGGTCGATTCATTAACTCTTATGACATCACTCTCGACGTTTGTTTGTCAAATGTTTTCTCCCAATCACAAGTCCTCCTCAATAACTTCGTAAGCTTAACCAACTTTTTTTCTCTCTCATCTGTGTAAAAGACGTAAATACCCTCTGACTGACTGTTGTTACATTACAGCGAGGCACGGAGACAAAGATAGATGTTTGTGTGGAGGATGAAACGATCGAGTACTTGAACCGAAAAGATGTGCAAACCGCTTTGCATGCTCGGCTCATGGGTGTCAGCCAGTGGGGCCCGTGTAGCGAGTAATACATGGACGGATCTCGAGTTTATAAATTAATTTAAACTTCCGTGTTAATTATATATTAATATATTTTTTTTTGTAAATAACAGGGTTTTGAACTATGACATGCACAATTTAGAGATACCAATGAGTCCTGTGTTGACTTCCCTACTCAAGTCTGGTATTAGGGTTTTTGTTTACAGGCGAGTACATATATATATATATATATATATATTTTTTTTAAAGATACAAAATTATCAATTTTCTATAATTTTTTCATTAATTCTTTCAGTGGTGATCAAGATTCGGTCCTACCTTTAACCGGGACCCGATCAGTGGTGAACAGTTTGGCTAAGGAATTACGGTTGAATACAACTTTGCCTTATAGGGCATGGTTCAATGGCAACCAGGTTAGTTTAATACTTTAATTCCAACTTTTTTTTATAAATTTGTTTACATTTTTTAATTTAATTAAGTTAAATTTATTTATTGTAGGTTGGTGGATGGATACAAGTATATGGTGATGTTTTATCTTTTGCAACGATAAGAGGGGCAGCGCATGAAGCTCCATTTTCTCAACCGGAGCGATCACTTGCATTGTTCAAAGGGTTTTTGGGTGGAAAACCGTTGCCACAAGCAAATGAAATCAATAAAAAGGATGATCGTGTTAATACAGTAAACCGTGTATTGTGAAAATAGGGTAATGAAAACCAGTTTCACTTTCACATGTCTCTTTGACCCTTTGGGTTTTAAGGAATAATTAAATAAAGTGTAACGGATGTTTTGTGTCATGCGTCTTGAATGAGGCTTAATGGAAGTTTGTTTGTCGGGTAATTTCAGGAGTTATATAGGAGTCATGAACCTTTCGTTTTTGGGGATTTGAGTGGTTGAGAACAAATTTGATAGGAGCTCCGAAAGGGGATGGATTTCATATCGATTTTTATGTGTCCGTAACTACTTGTTATTGAGATAGTAATTTGACATTTGATAGATAACATAAGTATCAAAATATATATTTAGACAAAATAAAATTTTAATTTTTTTTAATAAAATGAACTTTTAGAATAGTTTAGATATTATATTGTAAATATATTTATGAAAAAAAAAAAAAAAACATTATATTTAAATATGGATAAACTGTAAGCATAGTTTATAAATCGTCATTCATTTAAATATTCAAGTCATATAATTACTAATTTCATTGGTGTTATATTTCTTACCATGTAATTATTTGTTTCTATTCATGTTATTGTTGTTTTGTTACACGAAGCTCCAGTAATTAATTTAGGAAAATGGTTTGTACACAACAGTTTTTTGTCATACACAACAATGTATGCATTATAAAATTATAATGTACACCATTATAAAACAAATTGTTGTGTATAAAGAAAAATTATTATATACAAATCATCTCCCATTAATTTATTTCCACCACTCACTAAGTACCATATAAATTTTAAAAGCGACACGACATGCCACCGATATTAGTCTAGCCTCACTAATGAGCAATGATTTTTTTTTTTTAATGTTTATAAATGTCAACTTTTTTTTTCTGCGAGGAAAATTAAAATAACAATTTTTCAAATAAAATATTTAAAATATAATGCTTTTTCTGAAATTTTCTCTATTTCAAACGTCTTAATATTAATGATTCATAACAAGTCATATAATTAGTAATTTTATTAGTGTTATTTGTATAAGATTATGTAATTTTATTTTTAATATTTTGTTTATCTATTTTTTTATTTTACTTATGACGGAACTTTACAATATAAGGCTGTTATTTTGTAATAATCAAAAGTTAAAATATATAATTTAAAAATCTGCATAGCATTGAATAGTAAATATAGGATGATTAATTAAAAAAAATGAGTTGTTTTGTGATTAAATTAAAAAAAATAGAAAAATATAAAGTTTCTATTATTTAATTTTTTTTAATTTAAAATATTTGTGTTTAAATTGGATTATGAGTTTTTTTGTGGTTAAAGCTATTTTTCCAAAACAATTCAAAGTGTTTGTGGTTAAATTATATGAAAAATATCATTCAAGCCTAAAAAAATACATAAATTATAGTATTTTTTTAAAAGTTAAAGTTATCAAAAAATTGTTATATCCGGTTGCAATGAATTTTTTAATAAATCAAAATCTCACAGGTAAATAATAAAAATACTTTGAATAAACAAAAAAATTATTAAATTGAAACGATTTTATGAATTTTGACCTACAAAATAAGGACACATATTCGTTTCGGTGGTTTGGGTTTGTACTCAGCATACAAGGTTTTCTTCTACGCATTTGTAGTCTCGAGGGTTCAATCTTCGACATTACAATACCACATTTTACGTGACAGTTGCATATGAGGTATGGACTCTGATTACCTATGTGATTTGACTTGTTTGTGCGATACGATTTCAGGATTCGACTGTAACGGTTTCACTAATAAAGACACCGTCCCTTCTAAATCCCAAAAAGCATTAGCGTGTGCCCTTTTTAGCAAAATTATCAAAGATATGGAAGTCGATTTCGCTATGACTATTAGACAGCAAACAGTTTTTGAGTGTCTTCGGACACCTCATGCTCAGGATCTTCTGCTAACTATCCATATTGATGGCATCGACCAACATATGTCTCATGTGGAGTACCGAACTATCATTCGTTACCGCCTCATGATTCCTCTATTCCCAATTGATGAGATATGTTCAGTTTACCGTAAGGCATGCTTAGATACTTTTGGAGAACATGTGGTTCATTGTAGAGAGCTCTTTGGTTTCAAATACGACATGATATGGTTAGGGATGTTCTCTTTGATGTTTATCGGCGTGCTGGTATTTCTATGAAGAAAGAAGTATCGGTGAACTTTTTGACAGGCCCACAAGATGGAAGATCGACACTTAGACCGGCTGATATTTTGGTCTTTGGATGGATAGGAGGGAATCACACTTGTGTGTATCATATTTGGGTCTTTCCTCTTGTCGGTTTGAAGAGCGGTGGTTTCACAATCGGGTATGCCGCTTTGAATGTCGTTGCGTGCAAAGTGGCAAAGCACGAGAATGCATGTATAGAAAATTAACATATGTTTGTACCTTTTGCAATTGATACATTTGGATTTCTCGTGCCAGAGGCGGCAAAGCTCCTCAACAGAATCCAACGGGTCATTCATTCTAATGTTATATCTTCTAGATCCACAGATATTGTTTTCAAAAAAATTAGTTTTATCATCTAGAAATGGCTAACGGCGCAACTTGTTACCCGTTTACCTTCCATCGATGTGTATTGAACTATATGTGATATATTTATAGGTAATTAAAGTTTCTTTTGGGTTAAAAAGATAAGAAGAGTAAATTACTTTAAATCGCAACGATCATTCCTATAGTTTACTCATATAAGAATGATCTAATTTTTTACTAGAGGAACATAATGAAATGAAATGATATTTATGTGTCATTCTAAAAGGGAAATTCACAAATCCTAACGTCTTTTTTTTAAGTTCTCCCGTATCTTTGTAAATTTTACTGGCTTCGTCATAATCTATCACGATAATGAAATTCATAAGCAAATCAAATTTAGAACGTTCAACTTTTATGAACAAAATCGAGTAAAACCTAATTCAAACCCAAATTTCTGATGATGATGTGGACAAAGTTGGTTTAAACCAAACCTAAACAGCACAATATATGGGTTTACTCTTTATGTGAATATACATGCATCGCTTCTTGTTAGTGGTCCCACTTTAACTATATAATCTCAATTCTCAAAATAGTGTTGCAACAAGTTCATAAAAGAAAACCATGAAAACTTTAATTTTTTCTTTTGTATTACTTTTTTCGCTAGTAACAATTTCTCATTCCCTCCCTTTGACAACACAATCAAAATGGGTCGTTGATGAGTTGAATGGTGAGCGAGTCAAGTTCAAGTGTGTGAACTGGCCTTCTCATCTACAACCCATGTTAGTAGAAGGGCTCGACAAGAAGCCAATAGGTTTCATTGTAAACCAGGTTGCTTTCTTTGGGTTCAATTGTGTTCGACTCACTTGGGCTACCAATATGTTTACACGTTATAGCAACAAAACCGTTGTACAAACTTTTCGTGATTTAAGCCTTACAAATGCAATTAAAGGCCTCGAGATAAATAATCCTCAATTTTTACCTCTCACTGTGGTTGATGCTTTTTCGTTAGTGATAGGTGTGATTCAGTCTTATGGAGTCATGGTGATACTCGACAATCACGTGAGTGAACCAATGTGGTGTTGTTCCAACAATGATGGAAATGGATTTTTTGGAGATAAGTATTTTGATCCGGACGAATGGTTAGAAGGCTTATCTATCGTGGGAAAACGTTATAGAAATACTCCTATGGTAAGTATTAAATATTTGTTTTAGTCGATAAATTTCATTTTCCTTCCCTATGGTTTGCCGATTTATCGGATATGGTCCAATAGTTTGTTTCTTTGTTTAACTTTTGACTGATAAAGAACTTAAATTTTGTAGGTTGTTGCTATGAGTTTACGGAATGAGCTACGTGGACCTCGCCAAAATGCGAATGATTGGTATCAATGGGTTCGTAGAGGGGCTAGTACTATCCACAAAGCTAACCCTAATGTGTTGGTTCTCATCTCTGGTTTAAACTATGACCTTGATTTCAGTCCATTAAAATCTGAGCCTTTAGGACTAGATCGTGCGTTACCAAACAAAATAGTATACGAAACACACAGATACTCGTTTACAGAGGGACAAAGGTGGCTACGTCAACCGCTAAACCAAATGTGTAGTAATGTTATTCGTGATATAAATAATAGAGCAACGTTTTTAACAACAGGATCAGATCCTGCCCCGTTGTTTATTTCCGAGTTTGGCGTGAACTTAATGGGTACACGCCAAAGTGACAATGTTTTTTTGCCTTGTTACATGGCTTTTTTGGCTGAAATGGACTTGGATTGGGCCGTATGGGCTTTGCAAGGAAGCTACTACCTTAGACAAGGGGTCCAAAATATGGATGAACAATATGGACTCCTTAATAACGATTGGGAGGGGCTAAGAAACCCTGATTTTAACGCGAAGTTGTTCCTCCTGCGTCAAACTCTTCAAGGTACGTTTTAATTAAGATTTTTTTTTTTTTTTTTTTATGGCTTTAATAAGAGTTAATACAAGAAATTGATTTATGTATTATTAATGTTGTGTCTTTATTTTTATTATAATTTTTTATATCTATAAATATCTAGTTACAACAAAGTTATTTAAATATAAGACAGATTAAATAAAAAGAATTTGTAGATTTTTTAAAATATATTCATATTAAAAGAAAAAGAAGATGATAGTAGGAAGTCATGTATTTAGCTTTTTGACTAATTAATATATTTAGCAGAGTTCTCTCAAATTTTACTTTAGTAGTTATATAATTCAAGATCACAGTCTAACTATTTAACCATGGTTGAACTGATAACAAGTCTGATTGTTAATTTTTACAAAAATTTTCATGTAGTTCCACAATGGAGATCAAGCAACTACACATTCTTGTTCCACCCAATGACTGGACGTTGTATACGATCCGATTACAAGGACCAGCTTTTTGCAGATGAATGCCTTTGGTTGAACGGGTGGAGTCACGGCGGTGATGGGACTCCGGTGCAACTCGCAAGCACTCCGTTATGTATCACGGTGGCCGGAGACGGGCTTCCGGTGAAGCTAACAACAAATTGCAATGCAAAACAAAGCACGTGGAACTTGGTAAAAAACTCAAGGTTCCAAATCTCAAACAAAGATGAAAATGGCGTGGATCTTTGCTTGGATTTTGATCCAAATTACTCTTCGAGGATTGTGAGCAAGAAATGCATTTGTGTAGATGATAATGATTCTAGATGCCTTGCAAATCCCCAAAGTCAATGGTTTCAATTTGTTTCCACCAACAATAGATTTGTCTAACGTTATTTTACACACTAAAGTATGTTTTCCTTTCGGTGTATTGGATAGGTGGTTAGATAACATCATGATATTAACTGTTACTTGCCGAATACTTTTATATAAACTTATAAATAAATAAATTAGTTTCCAATT